CAAAATATGAAAAGGAAGGTAGGAGACTGGTTTTTATAGCTCACTCATTCCCAAGGTATAATTGCTCTCACTGTGGTTGATTTCAGGCCGCCATTGCAGCATCACTGAAAGCAGATCCAGGATGGAGTCGGTTCTGCAGAGTCAGAGCCAGTGGAAGTCCGCTCCAGAGCCAGCCACTGAAACGGCCGACCAGCTTGGAAGGGCACATTCATAGGAGGATTAGATTAGACCCTTCCAAACGTCACTAGGGTTGGGAACTTTCACCAAACACTTAGCAAGGATCATGCTCTTGAGAAAAGTTAGTTCAACTTCAAACTTCCTGTTCTCATTCTTCTGAATATGATTTAAAAAGACTAAAATAATATTGAAGGACTGCTACTGAGTCAGAGTTGTCACTCTACACTGACCACTGTCATTTATCTTTGTTCTGCTAGATACTTTTGATAGTCTTTTGCTCATTAAAAAAAAAAAAATGATGATGAATTGGGACCAGCAGTTAGTGTAATGGCTATGTCGCTGGACTCCCATGTGGTTGACCGCAGTTTGAGTCCTGGACCCGGTGGTTTAAACTCACGCCGGGTTTGTCTGCATGTGTGCCCAAGATCCTGAGAGAATGGAGGAGAAGGAATTGTGGTGTGGCCATCCCCCTGGGGGGTGATTTCTCACTTCTGTTTCTCTGTCTCTCTCTGTCTCTCTGGTGAGCGTACGCACCCTATAGCAAAAACCCCTCCAAAAAAAAAAGATGAATCTTTTGAATCAAGCAGATATTTGGGGAAGTTGTATGGTTTAGTGGGGAACTATACTTGGGAGTCAGAAGAGACCAAGATTTTATTCCTTGCTTCTCTAGACAAGGTACTTACACTCTCTTAGCTTCTGTTTCCTTTCTAGTAAAATGAATCTCCTAACCCTGTGTCACATATGCATTGTGAGGATGAAATGAACAGTGCCTAGGCATTCAGAGATTGTTTCAACACCTCACACCACGGGACAGAATTCACCTGAGCCATTCCAATCCCCACTGAGAGCCTTGGCACAAAATTTGGGAATGAAACATCAGCTTTGTCAGGAAATAAAACAACAGAAACTGAACTTGAAGGACTGAAACCTGTGCCCCTGCTCCCTGAACTCCCTCCCTGGCTTGCTCAGGGTCACCTCTCTGCACAGGAGGATGTCACACCTATCACATCACGTTGAGGTCATCTCTTCTAGGCCACGAGCTTCAGGGTGCTCGCAGATAGAGCAGAAACGCCCACCAGGCTGCTGCGTAACACGTGGAGTGGGATGAGGGGCGGCAAACGGGGCCTCTCCCACTTCAGCGGTGCAGAGTCCACAGACACAGGTCGGAGTCAGTGCTTAAGGAGGTACTTTAGAGGCATTAATTTTTTTGTTTTTAATTGCGTCATACAGGGTGCATCGGTAACACTTTACGATCACTGAGGGATGAGGAGAACTGATAGTGGGATCGTTTACAGTTTGAGATTCTCCTGCCAGAATACTAGAGAGGAAATTGCTTTTCTTAATTGCAGAACACTTAAATGTTTTTGTAGCTACAAGGAAGCCATTTCTGAGTGGCCCTGGGAGTGGCTAAGGGAGCCAGATCCCACATGACTGTCCATAGTTTGAATCTCTCTCTGGTGGCTTGAAAAGCATGCTTAGTATTTGTGCATACTTGCCCCAAATCTCAATGGAATGAAGAAACAGATGAGAAAGGGTTCAGGCATGTTCAACTGGGGGCACCTTCTCCTTTCCCCTCTGTCTCTCCGGCTAGTACGTGCGCACCCTCTGGCAAAAAAGAAATGAAAAGAAAAAAGAGAAAACAAAAACAAAGAAAGAAAAGAAAACACATACGCAATGCAAAACAACATTTTCCAATATTTGAGGACTCTAAATTACCGGGGGACTACTTCGACAGTATGAGGACTAGCTGGAAGGGGCCAGGTGACCACCACAATCAGCTTCCCGGGGGATGGCATAATACTTTTATTCCCTTAAACCAGAGTCTAGACGAAAGGAGGCCACCACAAGGCTAAGGGAAATAATGATTTTTGTCCAAGTCAACAGGAAATGCAAGGCTGGGAAGTAACGGGAAAACAGTCATCCAGATTGACTTATCATTACTTTTCCAAGTGACATTTATCGTGGCTGTGGCTTATGACATAGGCTTGAAGTTATTTGCAGTTTTATAAAATAAGACATGAAGTTCTTAGAATTTTGATGCTGAAAGGAACTACAAGTATGTTCATTTTACAGAGCTGTGAAACTGAGACCTGGAGAGAGAAAATGGTCCCATTTTCCTATCATGGTAGTTAGTTTGCACAGTTCTTGACCTTCAGTCCTGTCTTCTTTTCTTTTCTTTTCTTTTCTTTTCTTTTCTTTTCTTTTCTTTTCTTTTCTTTTCTTTTCTTTTCTTTTCTTTTCTTTTCT